GAAAAATAACAACACTTTGTCAGGACCATGAGGCGATCATTCCTACCAACTTTCAGTTCAATCGGCCCAGCAGAACTTGACTTTAAGTTTGAAATAGGTTTTCAAAATGGCGGCCGTGGCGGCCATATTGAATTTCTGATCGACCCGAAAAATAACAACACTTTGTCAGGACCATGAGGCGATCATTCCTACCAACTTTCAGTTCAATCGGCCCAGCAGAACTTGACTAAAGCTCAGGTGACCTAAAAATCACGTTCGATTTTCCTTCTTGCAAATATTTCTATCAGCATTCTTGGATGCTATTACTTAATTACTTACTGATCATTCAGCAAGTTGATTAGTTGCCTTGTTCGTTTTGAGTAATTGCTCATTGATTTGCTTTTCTCCCTCAAGTAACAGGCCGAGGACATCATGTTAAACTGTATAAGTCCATGTGTATGTTTTGTTCTTATTTAGTACCTGAATTGTTTTGTATATATTTAAGTGCTGACAAATACATTTGTATTTCTTTGTTATTTTACCCTCTTGCCAGAGAAGTGTGAAATTGTAGCATCTTCCGTGTTACCATTGTCATCATTGTTATTTAACACTGACCATAGCCACTGCATCTGGTGTTTCCAACACCTTGAATTAAAAATCTAAAATCCAGGATGTACACATATTGTTGTGGATTTTGGATTTTAATTCAAGGTGTAACGTTTTTATGTACTAGCCCCCAAATGAAACATTATATTATTGTATTGGTAGTATTTCATTTATGCATTGAAAATGCTGTAAATTCATATGATCAAACTCTATATCAATATGTATTGTAACACGAAAATGAATTAGTTTGATTTAAATGTTTCCGTGTACCGACCCCACTAGTTTTGATGCATTGTACGTGAAAATACGGTTCACAGTTAATACCACGCGAAAGAACCATGAACATTGACTACAGCCTGAACATGATGTTTATGTTCAGTTCATATACCTCATCGGGATCCTCCGCTACTCTTCCTATAAGGCCGTCTCAACTGGTCCAACGTTTGAGACTGCTGATGTCGATTTCTCATTCTTCTGTCAAACTGAACCCAGATGTGCTCAATGGAATTGAGATCTATAGGGAAAGCGATGGACAATCAAGCACATTAATGTTCTGTGGACGAAGAAAGTCCATGATGATACGTGCAACGTCATCATATATGTTATTTTGCTGAAACGCTCCCATTTATCCATTTGTCACCATGAATGGAACAAGAGGCCCAGAGGGCCTGTATCGCTCACCTGAATATTTAAGGAGTCAAAGCAAAATATTCTCATTCAATATTATATTGCACTACAAATATTTCCCTCGCAAACTTTGTTGGCTCCATCTGTTGAAACTACCAGCCAAATATTATTAAAGATTCTATGCTTTTTGATTCTTCTTCAGAAGTTAATTGATGTGTTTTCCCCTGTGATCTTGTAAGTAGGTCAATGTCATTTTCCTTCTCATACTTTGTTAGCTCTATCCCAAAAAGCTACCAGCCAAATCTTATGAATCCATTCCATTTGGTTCTTAAGAACAAATCCTTTAAAATGCTGCTGATCTCTGTCCTTTAAGGTAGGTTGAGGTCATTTTCATTCGCAAACTTTGGTGAGCTCTATCCTAGGTAGCCACCAGCTAAATATTATAATTTTATACTTTCGATTATTCAGAAGAAGCCGTTTGATGTTTTTGACATGTTTGACACATATGACCTTGAAAGAAGGTCAAGGTCATTTTCATTCTCAAACTTTGTCGCGATACATCTCAGGAAGTCAACAGCCAAATATAAAGATTCTATACCTTTTAGTTCTTCAGAAGAAGTCGTTTAAAGCGTTTTTACATATTTGACCGCTGTCACCTTGAAAGTATGTCAAGGTCATATTCATTTTCAAACTTTGTTGGGCTCCATCCCAGGAAGCCATCAGCCAAATATGAAGATTCTATCCCTTTTAGTTCATCAGAAGAATTCGTTTGACGCATATGACATATTTGACCGCTGTGACCTTGAAAGTACGTCAAGGTCATTTTCATTTTCAAACTTTGTTGGGCTTCATCCCAGGAAGCCATCAGCCAAATATGAAGATTCTATCCCTTTTAGTTCTTCAGAAGAAGTCGTTTGAAGAGCTTGACACATTTGACCCCTGTGACCTTGAAAGTAGGTCAAGGTAATTTCATTCTCAAACTTTGTCCGGCACTATCTCATGAAGCCAACAGCCAAATATGAAGGTTCTATACCTTTTCGTTCTTCAGAAGAAGTCTTTTGAAGTTTTTGACATATTTGACCCCTGTGACCTTGAAAGTAGATCAAGGTCATTTTCATTCTCAAACTTTGTCAGGCTCCAACCAACGAAGCTATCACCCAAATATCATGACTCTAGGCCTGTCCATTCTTCAGAAGAAGTCGTTAAAAGGAAAAGTTGACGGACGAGGACAGACGACGGATGCCGCACCATGACATAAGCTGACTTGCCCTTTGGGCAGGTGAGCTAACAACATGTGGTACCAAGATCAGTTCCCTGTAATGCGGAGTGTTTATTCTACCGTCGATGATCAAAAGGTCTGTACACCCATTGGGCAATACCCCACCCCACGCCATGGTGTTTTCATCGCCAAACAATCATGATGAAATGTGAAGGCATCCCAATAACGTTCACCACGCCTTCGTTACACTCGGGTCCTGCCATCTGAGCAATAAAGTAGATATTGAATAAAAGTTGTTGCCAATGTCATAGAGACCATTGTACATGTAATTTGTCATGACCACGCTGAGAAGCTTTGAATATGACGTTTAATCAATCGAGGTACATGATACAATTATGGAGAACATAGGCCTACCTCGGCCAACCGATGGATTAGTTTGTAGAGCAATGTGACGGTGATTTGAGTTGTTGGAATCAGTACTTGCCCCTGTTACTGTCTGATTATGCAGATGACATAAGCAGATATACCTGTCCTGTCTACGTGATTGTCAAATTTGTGGCTGTAAACTCTACTCCAAAGCCTAGGTATGGTTATTCCGGCAACAACAAACACGAATGTTGAATGCACTTGGCAAAAACACATACCAAATATAGTGTGTTTGTGGTAAACACATACCAAATATGGTGTGTTTGTGGTAAACACATACCAAATATGGTGTGTTTGTGGTAAACACATACCAAATATGGTGTGTTTGTGATAAACACATACCAAATATGGTGTGTTTGTGGTAAACACATACCAAATATGGTGTGTTTGTGGTAAACACATACCAAATATGGTTTTGTTTGTGGTAAACACATACCAAATATGGTGTGTTTGTGGTTTAACTCGTGGACATGTCGTCAAATGGAGTCTAGAATCTCTTCAAAGTTTGTGGTTTTGCAACAAAAAACTAATTTGAAAAGAGCTTTTCCTTTTGAAAAAATGAGGTTATTACAATGGATTTACATTAAGGTCTGTATCATTTTTGTTTTTTTCAACCTCTGAAAAGATTTTTAACATCATTCAACTAAAAGTTCAGATGGTACTAGGTTCACAGACAGTTACATAGAATGACTGGAATGTTAAGTTGAAAAGGGCGTTAACTCTGAAAAAATAAAATGGTGGCAATGGTTAACAGTATGCAATGCAAAGTAGTCCCACTGTGATTATCACCGGTAAAATATGGTATGTGAACCCTTGTTTTGTGTCAGTTACATCTGCAAAGTTAGGAAGGCGCACAAGAATGTATGCAGACAGAGCAATGAAGAGCCAAAACTGTGAAAAAGATTAACTGATATTGATTGTCCTTCACACAAGCAAATCATGATCATTCTAGGCCATGTAATTCATTAGAAGATTCATTATATTAGACCTCTGTGATTTGGAACATGATACTTCATTTCAATCTGTCAGTCTCCAAACAATATGACACTAGTGTTCTAGTTATCAAAATGAAGTTGTTTTTAACGATACCTTGATTTACGAACGATGACAGATGGCGGACACTTGCCCTTTGAACCCTCTGGTGAGCTAAACTTAATCAAACTGATACTCCTTTGGGCCTAGAGGTTAGTTACTTTCTAGAGTCAAGAAATCTCTATGTAACTAATGTGAATTTATTAAAAGACAATACTTATCAATCTGTTTCAGTAAATAAAGAAAAAGATAAAACAAGCAAATGACTCTTTTTCATTTTATAATTATTCAAAACATGTTGGTTATGAAAAATACCTTTATAATAATACACAATAATATTATGTAGACAAATATGATTTCTTCATGTTCAAAATGTTCACTGCAAAGGAAAGGGGAAATCAGAACTAGTTGACCTCATTCTGCAGTCTTTAGGTATCCTGAATTAAGTAGGTCCCTTTGAAGAAAACATATATATTGAAATGAAAACAAGTTGACTTTGATCACATTTTTATTCAGAGCAGACCACTATGGAAATTTCCCATGGGCTTCATCCCATCCGTTTAAATGGGTGGCAATTGTTACAGCATGTTTGGGGCTTTATTTTGCTTTTTATTATATTTCGCTTTAAAACCTATTCCAAAACAGTACACTAGATGTACACATCATAGGCAAAACCACCTCTGTTTGCCTCTATATCTTCAGGGCAAATACTATCCCTCTTTGCCACCTTTTCAACATCTATGAAAGAAACACTGTTTCTGTTTACAAACACCAACTTCCTCAGGAATTACTATCTCTGTTTTCCACATATCCCGAGGAAACACCATCTCTATTTGTGGCATCTTGTGGGGAAACACCATCTGTTTGTGGCATCTTCTGGGGAAACATCGTCTCTGTGGCATCTTGTGGAAACACCATCTCCGTTTGCAGCATTTTCTGGGAAACAGTATCCCTATTTGTCGCATCTTCTGGGGAAACAGCATCTCTGTTTGCGGCATTTTCTGGGGAAACATTGTCCCTGTTTGTGGCATCTTCTTCGATAACAGTGTCTCTATTTATCGCATTTCTTCGGAAACACCATCTCTATTTGTGGCATCTTCTGGGGAAACAGCGTCTCTGTGGCATCTTCTGGGGAAACACCATCTCTGTTTGCAGCATTTTCTAGGGAAACACCATCTTTGTTTATGTCATCTTCTAGTCTTCTAGGGAAACATCTGCGGCATCTTCTAAGAGACACCATCTCTGTATGCGGCATCTTCTAAGAGACACCATCTCTGTATGCGGCATCTTCTAAGAGACACCATCTCTGTATGCGGCATCTTCTAAGAAACACCATTTCTATTTGCGGCATCTTCTAGGGAAACAGTGTCTCTGTTTATGTCATCTTCTAAGAAACACCATCTGTATTTGCAGCATATTCTGAGGAAACAGTGTTTCTATCTGCGGCATCTTCTTGGGAAACCATCTTTGTTTGCAGCATTTTCTGGGGAAACACCATTCCTGTTTGCAGCATTTTCTAGGAAACACCATCTTGGTTTGCCATCTCTCCTGAGGAAATACAAAACCATGTTGAAAAAATCTTCCATTTGCCAACCCATCACATTCGAAGATATCCCTTTTATATTTCAGAGCATAAACAATAAGGATATTGATTTATCCAGTAAATATTTTATGTTTTCATTACGATTCATGTACACAATGGCTTTATGGTATGACATTGTTATATTTAAATGCATGCTTATGGTACATAGATGAAGATGATATATATTGGTCTCCCATTGAATACATGTATCATGTATTTTTCACAAGCATAGCAGAAAATTGAGGTTTCTCTTGAGTGTGAAAAACTCAGTATAATATCTATTTGAAAGACTAATTAGAGATAAAAAGTAATCTAATCCAGCCCCTAGGGTAAGGTGGGATGTTATTTTCTCCTACCATCTAAATGCATCTGATCACAATAATTCAAACCAAATCATTCCCTGCTGAAAATGACCAAAAAGTATCCCAAATTGTTCTTTACCCCTCTCCCCAAAGTTGAAAGGATAACCGGAGAGTACTCAAATTTACAATTTCGATCAAGTCCCTGATGATCTTTCCATCCATAAAAAGAAAATAATTCTAGTACATCCGAGGCTCGAGAAAAATGGTTTTTGAAATATTAGCTAATTTCCCTGCCTTGGCCCCTTGGGCAGGGACAGAAAATTTCATACCCTCTGCCACTAAAGATGATTCTGACCAAGATTGAAAAAAAAACATTTATCTGATGTTAAGAAGTCAAAAATGTAAAAAAAGTTTACGGATACAGGGATGAAAGGGGAACACAATAGGTCAAGTGACCTGAAAAAGCATCTTTGGACATCAAATTTAGTTCTAGCATATATGGTGGTCGGAAGAAGAAGATTGTTGAAATTTAAGCCAATTTGACCCCTTCAAACCCAACCCCTGTGGTCGTAGAGCTTTCGGTTCATGGTCATAATATCAAACCGCAACCACATGATGAAAATTTCAGCCACGTTTGAGTTTTTTCCCAATGAAAATAAGCAAAATATCTCCAAAAGTGTTTATTCCTTCTATATAAAATAAAGTACGTAAACATTGTCCCTCCCTAGGGGGGAATAAGTAACCCAAGGGTAATAAAATTCCCAATTTTGATAAAGTACCTAAGCCTAAGGACCTTTCCATCGATAAAGAGTATTTGATTGCAGCATATCTGGCAATGGGTCTGTGAGTCTGAAGGAAAAATACGTTGAAATTTTGGCTGATTTGACCACTTTGCATTGGGCAAACTCCCTCTGGCATTTGGGGTAACTCAGGGTCTATTAATGTTCATAGCATCTAACTGCAATCACATGATAATAATTCCAACTAAGTTTAAATTCTTCCCCACTGAAAATAAACACAATATCTCCAAAAGTGTTATTTACCTTTACATGTATAACTATATTAACCAAGGGAGAATGGGTCCAATGAAATTCACAATTTTGATAAAGCACCTTATAAGGACCTTTCCAAACAGTTTTTAAATGATTTTTTTTTAAATACTGCATGAATATATCAAGTTAAGTCTCCTAATGGCAAATGACGGTAAGATTTTGCTGACAAATATTCATTAAAATGTATAATTACTAATAGTAGACGGATTCTGATCCTGTATGGTCAGACATTTTACAGGATAGTTTATAGTGTCACATCTAAAAACTTATGCGTACAACACGCCATTTCATTGTAAACAACATGACTAGCCATGGGAAGTGTCAGCAAGTGAATAACCTTTATCGTGTCAGCTACGAAGCAAAGAGTTGCCAAATGATCCAGATATAGCAGAAGGATTACGTTACGGAAGCATTATTGAAGGTGAGAAGTATTCAAAGGATAAAATAGCTGCTCTAACAATTAGTAATATACAGAGTATGTATTCTTCTGGATAGCAATTACGATGTTGAATAAAACTGAAATGAAATCAACAGAAATGTTGTTTATATAATGAATAAGTATCTAAAAGCATTGAACTTGCTCATTTGTTTGTCTAAGTCGGAACACAGATGATTTGTTTTGTTATCTAAATGGGCATGGTTCCGAGATAGTTTTCTTTGCATCTATATATATATACAGTGGTTTATGCGAAAGGCAGGTTAGTGTGACTGGTTAGTTTGATTCTGCTATGGGGCCCTCCAAGGGATAATTGTTGTGATGTTGTACAGTACGGCCACGGCGTATAGCAAACTATTCTGTTCTCTCCTCTGTCGGTACATGTAGTCCCATGAGATGCGTGCACTATTTTATTTACAATTAGGTTTTATAATACTCCCGGGTCCAGTAAAAAGGTATGATTTTATTATATTGCTGAAGAAGAAAACAATTATTCACATGGAAGATGTAAGACATTCAAAATGACGGTCCAGGATGATAATAACAGAGGTTCACCCGAGAAACTAAATCTGATCACATCTTCATTATGTCAACAGTTCATGTTTTGATGTTCACTTAGAATGTATGATCATGCAAAAATTTTGTCTAAAACCGATTTATTTAAAACTTCAAACAGCATCGGAATACATATTGAAAACGGAAAAAAGCAATTTGGTTGTGTTGTAAAAATGGTGTGTGCGGTCGGTACTATGGTTTCTGTTTCTGACAAAAGGAATAAATTTATACCATCATGCATGGAAAATTACTTCTATTCATATTCAAATTCCAGAAATCAGGGACAAGACAATATTTATTACCAGGATGGAACCGGTACTGAATCCGGTCCTGTGTCCTGTGTCCATAATAGAATTTAAAAAAAATATCTATCCCATTCCTGCAGTTGTGTTAAAAATGTCAATGTCCTATTACAAGAGAATCAATAATTGCAATAAAGAAAAGTTGTCTCAATATCAAAAAGGGTTCATTTACAAGAGTGCTTACATCTTTGTGTAAAGTATTGAAAACATGATTATCAAGTGTCTAACAGTTCCATATCTGACACATATTCTACATGTACATATACCGTTATTGGCCTTGATAGAAATGTGTATTGTGTGTGATGACTATAATATGACTAAGTGTTAAAGCATATGAAAACATTGAAAGTGGGAAAGAGAATATACATGAACATATATATACAGATGTACTGCATGGTCTTGAATAAAGGTGCCAAAGACAATGAGTTGTAATAAGAAATTTTACAAACATTTCTCTTTTTATACTTGTCAATGCATTCATGCACTTAATGAAAACCCTTGAAAAAGGGTCTTGGTCCTGTGATAAAGGTTTGTCCCAAGGTTGAGGGAAGGAATTTAGTACCGTACCCATTTGTACCAGTATCATTCAAGCATATCTCCCAGTGTCTATAAATAATGCTGAGATGCCAACAAATATTTCTTCCTTTGAATATTTACTACTAACGGGATTCAATAAGTATCAACAGGGACTTGGAATCATATTCCTTAGTTTCATAATGTGGTAAGAAGTTGCCCGACAGCCCCTTTCTTGAGGCCCTTTGTGATTTTGCATCTCAGTCAGATCACCTGTGTTCACTGCCTCATTTCAAAACTGCCACCTGATGTTATCAGCACTATTTTTTAACAGGGCTTTCCTGAACAATTTGAGAGGTCAAACTGGACATGTGGAACGGACTATGAATAAGGAGATAGCAAGGAAACAGTGTGTCCCTTGAAAAGTATTTGATTCCAGCATACATGTATTTGGGTCTGAAGATTATTTAAATTTTAGCAAATCTGGCCTCTTTTCCCCCTGCCCCTGAGGCCCCTGGGGGTTAGATTCATATTATTCACATTTTGGTTTGCCTTTGACAATGAAACCTTCCAGAAAAGTTAAGTTGAAATCAGTTCAGTGGTTAATGAGCAGATTTAAAAAATGTGATTTGTTTATGGATGAACAATGGACAACATACAACAGAGACTTTGTCTAAGGTGACTATAACATGTGCTATAAGATTTTTCAGGGTCAACCTTTTAATCTTTTAAGGCCAGTTTGAATCAAATTGATTGGTGAAGAGACAAAATGGAAGACACATACCTTTATCAATTTCCAATTCTCTATAAACTTTACCCAAGAGTCTCTTTGCCCTTTTGACCAACACATAGTATTTCTCTTTTTTCCAGCAGGATACCTGTAATAAACCAGAAACATCCGTTGTTTATCAAATGATATGCATCACTTCAGAAGTTTAAGTTGAGGACATTTAGATTTGGCAACTTCTTTTTGTGACTTATATAGGTAAGTAAAATTGTAGACTATGATGGTTTGTGTAAGTGCTATACTATTATCAGTGTTGAGTTAACAGGAGAAAGTAATAGTGTATTACTACCCTGGACAGGTGGGTCTACCCTTCCTGTTGTGAGATATCATTGTCTCACTTAGGGTTGAGATAGGGGGATTCCCTTGATATAACAGTGTCATAACTTCACATCAACTATACAACAATGCAAATCAACTATACAATGATGCAAATCAACTATTACAACGATGCAAATCGACTATACAACGATGCAAATCAACTATACAACAATGCAAATCAACTATACAATGATGCAAATCAACTATACAATGACGCACATCAACTATACAATGAGGCACATCAACTATACAACGATGCAAATCAACTATTACAACGATGCAAATCAACTATACAACGATGCAAATCAACTATACAACAATGCAAATCAACTATACAACAATGCAAATCAATTACACAACGATGCAAATCCACTATACAATGACGCACATCAACTATACAATGATGCAAATCAACTATATAATGATGCACATCAACTATACACTGACGCACATCAACTATACACTGACGCAAATCAACTATGCAATGACGCACATCAACTATACAATGACGCACATCAACTATACAATGATGCACATCAACTATACACTGACACACATCAACTATATAATGATGCACATCAACTATACACTGACATCACATCCGATCAGTCTCAAAAGTTAAGGACCAAGGGGAACACATATATAAAATTTGAGAAAGATCCCTCAGGTACTTCTTGAGAAATACCGATAACATGAATTGTTAATGGATGAACGACGGACCACGGACCACGGACGATGGTGGACGATGGTGGGCTAAAAAATTTAGTGTGGTTCGGGCAGACGACCATAGGCTGAGCAGGATTGTAACTTTAAGAAGGATTTCATTCACATTTATAGTTGGCAAGTTGATTCTGGGTCACCACGTGGAGCTCAAAGCCATTATCATTCTATCCCTGATGTAGTGATTCTGTTCCCTAGTCTTGCATGTGTGTACTTAACCAATTTATAACCTGAAGATATATATATATATATATCCTTAATTACCTCAAATGTTTTTATTACGTAATAATGTAGTCCTCCCCTATATCAAACAATAAACAAGCCATTCAGATTGATATGTCTCGCCTGTGCCCCACTTTGACCATCAATTCACATATCAGTGAAATAAATTCAATGTAGACATCCAGCATTTGATGCATGGGTTGAGATATACTACCTCAGATGCATCCATTTATAGTTTCAGAGACTCTAACTTAAATGCAAAAACCTTAATGTTGATGGAGATGCTAACAAAGTCAGTGGACCATCAAAGGTAGGCCGCCTCCAGCATTTGAAGCATGGGTTGAGATGTGCTACCATAGATACATATATGGTCCAAGTTTGGTTGGTCTAGCACTTACACTTTCAGTGACACTATTTTAAATGCAAAAACGTAATGTTGACGCCTCCGTCGCCGGAAATGCAACACCTTATTAGTCTCGCTTCCGCTACGTTGTTGCGGCTAGACAAAAACAGAAACCTATATATATACCCCTCCTTTGATCATAATTGATTCAATGTATTCAGTGTTACGGCGGGAATTCTTCACAAATGGGCTTAAAAAAATCTGAATCCGTCATTGATAATGAGTTTTTGACAGCTATTTTGGGAAAGGGCCCCTAAGCAAGAATTGGGAAAATATCATCGGCATTTGGCAAAAATTGGGAAATATCATCATTGTTCCCACATGTTCAGGTTTGGGAAAATATCGTAAGTTTGGAAAAAATAAAACATGCAATGTGACTAGCACAAAGTTTTCCTCTAACTGTTTCTTGCAGTAAAATGTTTAGCAACATACATGGTATAAACACATCTATTTTCACTGTTTTTGCTTATTCAATTTCAATTTTTTGTTATTTATGCATTTTGAATGCTCCATCATGGACAGTTATACTTCAAATTTTGCACATATAATGGCTGAGAACTTGAATAAACATGCTTTTTAATCCAATTGGGAAAATAAAGACTGAAATTGGGAAAATGCAGGGTAATTTTACTATTTTTTTCAATCGGGAATGGGGGGTCCCTGTGCCCGACCCTATAAACACATGGCAAAACCCCTGTAACTACTAACAGATTTTGATGATAGTGCAAATATTGACCAAATTACATAAAAATCAAGTTATATTTCATTAGGTTCCTAGGAAGAAACCTTTGCCAATCTCAGGGTAGTACATGAATGCTCACACAACTGATGTATCTTTATACAGGAAGTATAGATACACCCTTTAGTGTACCAAGTGACAACCAAATGAGGTGACTTTTGTTCCAGAAACTTGTATTTTGGAAACCACCTATCAATTAAGCACAGGTTTGGCTTTACTTCAGTCTCTGTCTTTGACGTTCTATAAATATTATCCAAATAAAGTTTCATCAAGAATTGCTGTGGAGATTGACTTCACACTTTGTAAAAATGTTCCATATGTGGACCCCAACAAGACTTCTTACTTTTTGTGCTGATGTGATAATCCAAGACAGCCACCCAGGCCTCTGATTTGCTGGGACACTTAAAACCTCTTCTCTAGAAGAGCTTCACCAATTCACTTTAAACATGATACAAATGTTCCTTATGAGGTCCCCAACAAGTGTTTTTACTTTTCTTGCTGAGCTAAAAATCTAAGATTCATTCAATTACAACATGGCTTTTCCAAAGAGAAAATAGAATGTGAAGATATTGCCAAAAATTAAATGTCTGACTGTGGGTGATGTTTTGACCAAAATATGAATCTAGTTATTGATGATACCAACGGGCATCACAGTGCTCGTCATGTCGGTACTGTATTTTGGGGCAATCTTTACACTGTAAACGTGGATTTTTTTGTGTATGAGAAAATTTCTGCTTTGGCAATAGTTTTGAAATCTATATAATTCTAGAATAAATAATGAAAATATCCACTTTTACAGTATCTTATACCTACCCAGATAACTTTGTAGCCTTTAACTCGGAGCGAAGCCTTAATTTGTCTACTTTCAAATTGAATGGAGGGGAGTTCTCGGCGCAGAAGATATTGATCCTTGTGAAGAAAAATAACTGCAAGTCTGAAATATGAATAACAATATAATTAAACAAAAAGCCCAGAGGGCCCTTATTGCTCACCTGTTTCTTTCGTTACATGAAATTGACATATAGGTAACTTCAGACCAAATCTGCTATCTAGAACACAAGACATTTAAACATCTCTTAAAATGTTCTTATGATATTATTTTAACCCACAATAACCTTTGATGCTACCTAGTACTTAAAGATGACCTTTGACATCATAATTGTAATAAAGAAAACGATTCACACAGCAGGTCACCATAACATAGTATCATGACTATTGTTGTTTGAAGTTTTTACCTTATTTCACCCCTGTGACCTTGGAATTAGGTCAAGGTCATTTTATTGTGGAAACTTTATAGCATTCCATCCAAGGTGCCTACTGGCCAAATATCATTACCCTGGGCCTGTTATCTCATATTGACCTATGACTGATGACTAGTTGATTTTTGACCTCATTACTGTAATTAAGAAAAAATGTGCACTGCTGGTCTACATAACATATCCAAGTGTCATGAGTCAAGTACAAATGGTTCTTAGGATATTGTTGTTTGAATTTTTTAACATATTTGACCCCATGTGACCTTGAAAATAGGTCAAGGTAATTTTAATAAGGAATCTTTATAGCACTCCATTTCAGGTACCCACTGGCCAAATATCATGAATCTATGTCCTCCTGTTCTTCAAGAGAAGTCATTTAAAGAAAAAAGTTGACGAATGGACGACCGAAGGACGACAGACGCAGCAGTATGGCATAAGCTCAAAGGGCCATAGGAGCTAATAATCATTAGTAAATATGTAAATCAAAATCAAGTATTCATTGCCCTATCAATATGCAAACGTAATTCTTTGTTTGCCTCTGATTGACCATGTTTCACTCAGGCTTTGCCTCATAAAATATGATTTTTACTCAGCTTTGCCCTTGTAAAACAGATGCTTTAATTTAATCATCAAACATTTAAAAGTGATGTGAATGTGTGTACATGTACTCATATGAAGTAGTATAGCAACTGTTATTTATTACTTACTTTGTGTAATATTTGCCAGCCTTTCTCATGTGGTCAAGTTCAGAATATTTCACTACATTACAATCTTCATTGAAATATGCCACCATGTCTGTTCAAATTTATAAAAATGGAGCAGTGTTGATAAAAGAGTTGTCAATAAGTATGTAACATTACACTGACCAACATGACATTCTATAATAATCTAATTTCATGTTACACATGACATTCTATAATAATCTAATTTCATGTTACACATGACATTCTATAATAATCTAATTTCATGTTACACATGACATTCTATAATAATCTAATTTCATGTTACACATGACATTCTATAATAATCTAATTTCATGTTACACATGACATTCTATAATAATCTAATTTCATGTTACACATGACATTCTATAATAATCTAATTTCATGTTACACATGACATTCTATAATAATCTAATTTCATGTTACACATGACATTCTATAATAATCTAATTTCATGTTACACATGACATTCTATAATAATCTAATTTCATTTTACACATGACATTCTATAATAATCTAATTTCATTTTACACATGACATTCTATAATAATCTAATTTCATTTTACACATGACATTCTATAATAATCTAATTTCATTTTACACATGACATTCTATAATAATCTAATTTCATTTTACACATGACATTCTATAATAATCTAATTTCATTTTACACATGACATTCTATAATAATCTAATTTCATTTTACACATGACATTCTATAATAATCTAATTTCATTTTACACATGACATTCTATAATAATCTAATTTCATTTTACACATGACATTCTATAATAATCTAATTTCATTTTACACATGACATTCTATAATAATCTAGTTAAATGTTATACATGACATTTATAATAATAGTGTCACATGTTACACATGACATTCTATAATAATCTTGTTACATGTTAAACATGACATTTATAATAATCTTGTTACATGTTACACATGCATAACATTCTATAATATTTGTGTTACATGTTACACATGATATTCTATAATAATTTTGTTAAATGTTACACAAGACATTTATCATAATCTTGTTACATGTTACACATGACATTCTATAATATTCTTGTCACATGCTACACATGACATTCTATTATAATCTAATTTCATGTTACACATGACATTCTATAATAATCTGATTTCTATTACACATGACATTTATAATAATCTAATTTCATGTTAAACGTGACATTTATAATAATCTTGTTACTTGTTACACATGGGATTCTATAATAATCTAATTTCATGTTACACATGACATTCTATAATAATCTAGTTAAATGTTACACAAGACATTTATCATAATCTTGTTACATGTTACACATGACATTCTATAATATTCTTGTCACATGTTACACATGACATCCTATAATAATCTTGTTACATGTTACACATGACATTCTATAATAATCTTGTTACATGTTACAAATGACATTTATAATAATAGTATCACATGTTACACATGACATTTATGATAATCTTGTCACATGTTAAACATGACATTCTTTAATAACCTTGTCACATGTTAAACATGACATTTATAATAATAGTGTCACATGTTACACATGACATTTATCATAATCTTGTTACATGTTACACATGCATAACATTCTATAATATTCATGTTGCATGTTACAAATGATATTCTATAATAATTTTGTTAAATGTTACACAAGACATTTATCATAATCTTGTTACATGTTACACATGACATTCTATAATATTCTTGTCACATGTTACACATGACATTCTATAATAATCTAATTTCATGTTACACATGACATTCTATAATAATCTAATTTCATGTTTCACATGACATTTATAATAATCTAATTTCATGTTACACATGGCATTCTATAATATTCGTGTTACATGTTACACATGACATTTATAATAATCTAATTACATGTTAAACGTGACATTTATAATAATCTTGTTACACATGACATTCTATAATAATCTAATTTCATGTTACACATGACATTTATAATAATCTTATTTCATGTTACACATGACATTCTATAATAATCTAATTTCATGTTACACATGACATTCTATAATAATCTAGTTAAATGTTATACATGACATTTATAATAATAGTGTCACATGTTACACATGACATTCTATAATAATCTTGTTACATGTTATACATGACATTTATAATAATAGTGTCACATGTTTCACATGACATTCTATATTTTCTTGTCACATGTTTCACATAACATCCTATAATATTTGTGTCGCATGTTAAACACGACATTTATAATAATAGTGTCACATGTTACACATGACATTTATGATAATAGTGCGACATGTTACACATGACATTTATGATAATAGTGTCACATGTTACACATGACATTTATAATAATAGTGTCACATGTTATACATGACATTTATGATAATAGTGTCACATGTTAACATGACATTTATAATAATAGTGTCACATGTTACACATGACATTTATGATAAAATTGTCACATATGACATTTATAATAATAGTGTCACATGTTACTCATGCCATTTATAATAATAGTGTCACATATTACATGTGACATATGGCAATGACAAAAAGTTTCTGAACAGTTACAACTAAAATCTGTTCTATCTCTCTACAATTAGTTACTGTATCTTTCTACTTACCTATGTGAATGCCATCCGAGGTGATGTAATTGGTGCGAACGAACTCAGGTCCTCCTAATTCAGAAGTTAAAGTATCCTGCATGCTTTGCTTTTGTATCAGATAGTGGATCAGCTGGGCATCATAAGATCCACCTGCTGTACAAAGTCAATATGTTGAGTTTATTAAAGCTATGAGATATTGCTTACATGATGTTTTTAACCAGAATCCCACAGAACGCTGTCTTATCTGATCCTGATTGACGTTGTTCATGACTTGTGTATTTAACATGAGTGAAACAAGTTCATATTATTTAGTAAATAATGAAAAGTGACATATGTTGTTTAAGTTCTATCAAATTGTTTTCATTTTACTCTTATTTACAATTCAAACTAGAACACTGACAGGTCAGTAAGGGCCCCGTATTGTGGCAATATATCCCCCATAATCATCAAGAAGCAATCTGACCATATAGCTGAGCTTTACGTTTGACATTTGGACAAAGAATCGCAAGGAAGCAAAATATACATTTTACATGTACTATGATGTGAGTCTTGTTTCCTTCCACCTCCATATTTGCTGGGCTATCAGAAATGTAAATACCGGTGCAATACTCATTTGTTAGCTTTGATTTGTTTTATTTCACCTTATATACCTCCTACATCAAGAGCCAGGGTCAAAGTCAGAGATCCACTTTGTCTTTGACCTTTGGACCCAAATGACCTTGCCCATTTACCTGGTGACCCTGAACTTTGGTCAGTTGACTTATCCTTTAATTCTGACCAACTTTGCTTCTTGATATCATAACAAAATGTTCATCAGTGAAAAATACAAACCTTGACATTGACCCTTTGGATCCCGTAACCTTGACCTAATCTAAAGGTCAGTTGACTCTGTGTCAAGTTCTGAACAACATTGCTTCATAATGTCATAACGAAATGTTCACCAGTGAAAAGCTACAAAATTTGACCTTGCCCCCTGACCCAATGACCTTGACCTTTGGTCAGTTGACTCCTTGTTTAATTCTGATCAACTTTGCTTCATATTGTCATAACAAAGTGTTCATCAGTGAAAAGACGCAAATTTGACCTTGACCTTTGAATATAATGACCTTGACCTTTGACCTCGACTTTTTACCTCAGTATGTCTCTGTTTAATCCTGATCAACTTTGCTTCATGATGTCATAACAAAATGTTCATCAGTCAAAAGATGTAAAATTTGACCTTGACCTTTGAACCTAATGACCTTGACCTTTGACCTTGATTTGTTTTTTACCTCAATGTGTATTTTTGTGAACTGAACATCTTGACCAAGTTTCATGAACATCGGTCAATAAATACCAAAGTTATCAGCCAGGAACAGAATTTGTGGACGGACGGACGGACGGAAGGACAGACAGACAGACAGACAGAGTGATTACTATAGGGCACACGTATCTCCGATACGGGGCCCTAATGAACAAATTTATCTGTACACTGCCATGTTTGAAATCATAATCAAATAAGTTTGTTTTCTTCGGGCAAAACTGGTACACATTTCATAACTAACAAGAGGCCCAATGGGCCTGCATCGCTCAACCGGTTTTAATCTCACACTTGTAACCTTAAAAGTGATCTTACTTAAAAGTAAAGCTATAGCAAAATATCAGTATTTAAAGGAACCTGTTAAAAGATGTTATAACATTTGACCCCATGTGACAATGAAAGTTGAATAAGGTCATTACAATGAACAAAGTTTATAGCCCTTCATCACAAGATGCAACTTGCTAAATATCACTACCCTTGACCTTTTCTCTATTGAGATTAGGTCATTCAAAGTTTTATACATATTTGACCAAAATGTGACCTTAAAAGTGGGTCAAGGTCATTCAAATGAACGAGCATGGTAGCCCTTCATCCAAGCATGCTACTGGCCAAGTATCAGCATCCTGTGCCTTATGGTTATTCAGAGGAAGTCGTTTAAAGATTGTAAACAAATTTGACTCCTGTGACCTTGAATACAAGTAAAGGTCATTCATTTGAACAAACTTGGTAGCCCTTTATCCTAGTATGCTACTGACCAGATATCAACATTCTATGCATGATGGTTATTCAGAAGTCGTTGAAATATTTTAAACATATTTGACCCGTGACCTTGAATATGGGTAAAAGTCATTCATTTGACCAAACTTGGTAGCCCTTCACCAAGCATGTTACTGACCAAATATCATTATCCTGTGTCTTATGGTTATTTGGACAAGTGGTTTAAAGATTTTGAACATATTTGATCACTGTGACCTTGAATAAAGGTCAAGTCCATTCATTTTTACAAACTTCATAGCCCTTTATCCTAGCATACTACTGGGCAAATATCAACATCATGGGTTTTCTGGTTATTCAGAAGTTGTGAAAAGATTTTGACATATTTGAGCCAAGTGACCTTGAATATGGGTAAAGGTCATTCATTTGAACAAACTTGATAGCCCTTCATCCAAGCTTGCTTCTTGCCAAATATCATCTTCCTGGGTATTTTGGTTATTCAGAAGAAGTCGTTTAAATGTTTTAAACATATTTGATCAATATGACCTTGAAAATATGTCAAGGTCATTCATTTGAACAAACTTGGTAGCCTTTTATCAAAGCATGCTTCTGGCCAATTATCATAATCCTGGGCCTTCTTGTTATTCAGTAGAAATTGTTTAAAAGATTTTAAACATATTTGACCCCTTTGATCTTTACTTATATGTCAAGGTCATTCACTTGAACAAATTTCAAAGCGTGTCGTCCCAGCATGTCTCTGGCCAAATATCATCACCCAGAGCCTTCTGGTTTTTCAGAAGTTGTTGAAAGATTTGAACATATTTGACCGCTTCGACCTTGAAAATGGGCAAAGGTCATTCATTTGAACAAATTTGGTAGCACTGCATCCAAGCATGCTACTGGCCAAATATCAACACACTGGGCCTCTTGGTTATTCAGAAGAAGTTGTTTAAATTAAACAGTTGACGCCGGACGAACGCCGGACAGACGACAGACGACAGATGCTGCACCACAGCTTAAGCTTAAGTCCTTCGGGCCAGGTGAGCTAATGAAAACGAGAGGTCCAATGGGCCTGCACCATCATCTGGTATTAATCTTACAATTTTGCAACCTTAAAAGTGTACATCGAAATACACTATAACTTTTTCATTTAGGAACATTGGAGCATAGTTAAATTACTATTCAACATGTTTTTCTTGATTTTCTTGACCAGTATATATAATACAGCATGTCACATCCTCAGAACCTAGGGGTAACACTTCCTTACATTTTCTACACCCCTGGAATATGTCATGCTGAAATCAAAGGCTTTTTACATATAATCTGGTGCATGATTCAAGTAGACTTAGTTTAATCTTTTGATGTACATTAAAAGAATAACAGTAAAATGGACCAGTTTTGAAGTTGCATTTCTCTCTTCTGTATTATAAACTTCAATGGAAAGGTATTAGCCTGCAGGCGATTGGTCATTTTTTTCAACTGGAACAATCAAATACCATAACTAACTGTGATCATGAAATGTGGTCATGACATATTCCAGGGTGTGAAGAACATTAGGGAGAGTTACAGTTACCCCTGGAACTTATGGAATGAGCATGTCAATCACTTTACATTTCATTTCAAAATATTTTATTAAATCAATCAGATTAAATGGGAATTGGGCAACAGGCAAAGCCTAGATACAAGCCCTCTCCCGGCAGGTAAATCTCAAACAATAGCAATATAATGAACTATGAATATTCACACCATGAACATGTTTTATGAACATAAAAATTAGATCAGTGCCAATCATATATACATGGACATATTATTTATTTTTGCATTGATTTAGTTACTAATGTGAAGGCCGGTACAGTGTACTTTTACATTGCCCACCTGGTTCAGGGTGAGCTTCTATCAACCTCCGCTGATAGGGAACAGCATAGTCTGGACACAGCAGGCACACCTTTCTGTTCAACTCGACAATGTTGTTTAACAGTGATTGAGACTGATTGTAAGACAGATCTACAAGTAAAAAACAGCCTTTCTATTATCATGCATACAAATCAGCTGGACAAGAATCCTAACCCACTAGGTAACCTATTTGTCACTAGCACTGTAACTGCTGTAGGAACAAAAACACTATCAGTATTTATTTGTGTTCTCAATAATAGTGCCATGGTAACCAGTTGAAATTTGCATACTTCAATGGAATTTAAGATTCAGTTAATTTTGTAAAGATGCTCAAACTTTATTTATTAAGTTTTATCAAAATTTGTGAAGGAATGAAGTCACAAGAGCGTTGACAAATAAAATTCTATATATAGGAATGATAATCCTGACCTTGACAACCTGAAACATAACTAATATGAGGATTTCAAATTCACCAGAGCAATGACAAAGATTTACTGAAAACATAATTATAATGAACCCCAAGTAACCTATAGGGGTAATTAAAGAATTGGCAATAAGCATGTTCGTACTAAACATATTTTAGTGTTGATGTATTTAATTGATATACATATCTTACCAGATGTTGAACATAAATTGTTTACCTGGACTGTGCAGTAAGTCCATCACTTTGTTGATGTAGGGAGCCCGAAACACTTTTGTGATATAGTTTTGTGGAAAATCCATCAAATCAGACATACTGCATAGCATCTGAACCAAGACGGGGGGTTCAACGGCATCTATTGTCAATTGGTTCAAACTATTATTTGCTGCTTGAAGTAATCTTTGCTGTGTACCTTGTGGTCCAATTTTCAATGAGATCTGAAGAAGGTCTATGAAATTACTTATTTTCATATTGGTTTGGTGTTTGATAGCATACTCCAGAAGGTTGCACTGGAATTGTGAATAAGAACTAGGGGAAAGAGATAGGGCTAGCCAACAGGCCATCTCAAATTCATGTGGATCCAAGTGTCCGTCACACAGAAAGGTGAGACCATAGAGAATATCATTCCTTAAATCATCTGTAGGTACATGCATGCACGGTCTGAACAAGTCACGGAACTGTTGTTGTAGTCGCCAGCTAGGTAATCCACACAGTTTCACACGGCTGCTCGTCTTTATGTCGTAGCCCAAGAGAAAAAACTGACGAATGTCATTTCGGTCTTCTGTCCTTTCCCTTCCTGTTGTGCGAAATACTCGGGTAAAAGCATGTACAAGGTTGTGGTAATATGTGTCTACATAGGCAGAGGCTATCGTGTTAATAAGTTTTTTAAGCTCATTAAGGTTATAACAATGGGCTAATTTCTCATTAAATATACCTGTTAGAGGTGTTGTATTCATTTGGTGTTTTACAAGTACTACAAAGTGAAGACGTTGCAGTCTATCTGTCATGTCTAATAAAGAGCTGCTTAATACTTCAGATAGACACTGCAGGCCAAAGTCATCTTTGCTTCCTGTTGAAGAGAAATACAGAGATGTGGTGTCGTACAGCTCAACAAAATCATCGGTTTTAAGGTGGGGCATTATATCAAAATCAAAAAATGCTCTGTTTAATGATTCTTTGGCAGTCACAGAAATATCTCTGTCACAAAGCAAGTCCGAGATTGCTCTGGAACGTTTTAAGAAGATGACCATTTCTAGAGGTAACGACTGGGCTACAGGATTCTGCAGACATCCCCAAGTCAAACGGAGGATTTTGTCTTTGCATTTTGCTGAAAGTTTCATCCATGAGAGGTTTGCAAGTTGTTGAAGCTCCAAGATATTGTACATTGAAAAATCTTGCATTTCAAATATTATGGATTCCATCCTAGATTGGACCTTCTCCAAAAAAGGTTTTGACAAGAACTCCATATGTTCTTCGGCAGACATTGCTGTGATAGCACAGAGCTGGTGGAGGTTTAGTTGTTGAATGTTTGCTGACATAACATCTGTTATATGTTTCAAAATTATCCCACTTATGTCTTGAATGTTGGGCTCAATGAAGGCCAATCGGTGATCTCCCAACATAAACACTGACACCAATTGAAACACTTGGACAACAAGGTCAAGGTCACTAACAATGGATCTATGATCCCTACATAGTGATAATATTTGAAGCAATAAGTTTGATATTAAGTCACTGTCTATCTGCTGCAGTAGACCACAGGAAGAAAAATGACACAAAACATCAAGAAACAATTTGGGATCTTTTTCTAACTTCACACAGCCATTCTGCAATAGATATCCAAGTTGGGGAAGAATTTCCTTTTCAATTATGATGTGACTGCTGTTGTAATTCTCAACGGCTGATAGAAATTGTCCAAGCGACACAAAATCTAAACTTTTTTGCTTACTCTGCAACTGTAGAAAGAGGCATGTCATCAGAGGATGCGTGGCCTCCAAGCCAGCATGAGTCAAATCACGGAACACAGAACACATCTCCTCTACACTCATGTGCTCCACTGAATCAGTTGTGATGGCTTGATTGATCAGGTCTTCCAGCTCTGGTGAATTCAATCTTGGTTTCGGTGTTCTGCTGTTTCGACTTTTTGAAAAGGCAACTGTTCTAGAGTAAGGGTATAGCCATGGATCTTTCTTAACCAACGTCTGGTAGACAGACTCGGCACAACTGGCTACCAATTGCTGGGTTGTCTTATTTTCAAAAGCCGATTTTGGCTCTTTGGAGTCGGAATGATATGGCCGCAAATTATTCAGTTGTTTCTGTTTGAGAGGCACAGAAGAACGAGTTTGTGACATACACAATGCTGTTACTGCTGGTGGATGTAGGTATCTGGAGATGGCTGTCCACACATTGTCAGCTGGTCTACACCATACTTGTGAATGAGTACATCTGGCTAGTTGTATTAATGGACTGCTCATTCTTGGTGAACAAACAGAATAGTTTCTAAAAGGGAGGCCACTGACTATGTACCTGCTACAAGTCTTCCAGGGTAGTTTCCAGTATCGTTGGTTCTGCATAATTGTGTTACTAAGTTCCAATTCATATGAGCAAAATAGTCTAATCATCCTCTGATTTACTCGCTACAGGTACATCTCAGGCTCCTGACTTTCAAGAAAACAGCAGGGTCTGCAAAATAATGAAAAAATATCATCACCCAGGGGCTGTTCAAAGATTTTTAAAACAAGAGACCCAGGGGCCTTAGTAGCTCACCTGGTATTTTATTTTTCAATTTAAAACCTGCTGAGTACCATTCAGGTTTATCAAAGGAGTACAAGTAACAAAGTTGCATCTTCCATTTATAAATATTCAATTCCCTTTGCCCAAAGATTCTCTAAAACAAGTTTGGTTAGGTTAAAATCCCTTCAACGGTACAGAAGGAGAAGGATCTTTAATGTTTTCCTCTATTTCCCCTAATGGGCCCCAC